GCGACCAACCCGAGTCTAGTCTGGGAGACACACTAGATCAACCCAAATCATGGATTTCAGGAAGGTTTCAGTTTTCAAATCATTCCCAACCTGATTCAGTCAAAATTCAATGAATTTGGGCACTTTTGGGTTGTGTCACCCAAGTCTGGGCTTGGTCTAAGCAACACAGGGTGTGTCGCCCAGCCCTTTGGTCCCCCAAAATTAGAATTTGAGCTGGCAGATCCGATGGTTTTTGGCAGACATCCATTCCACGCGATTTTTAGCCTATAAAAGTGCATTTGCACGACAATTTTAGGGTTAAAGACCGTCAACTAAGAAAATTGGTGAGAAAAACCCCAGAAACATGCAACCCTAGCCCATCCAAGATCTTCAACCTCGAATCCTTAAATCAAATCTAGAAAAACCTATTTCAAGCAAGCCAAGGCTTAGTCGAATTTGACGATAGATACGAAGGACTCATGGTGTAAACATAGCCGCGGTCTTAATACTGACGAAGCCTCGGGTGTTTCGGGCAACTGGCTAAGCCAGTTAACTTTTCTTCTCCATGTTTTTATTTATTTATTATATTTTAAGTAGTTTTATTTTCTTTAGTTTAGTATTTCATGCATACGATCGATGTTGGCTCTGCCACTGATCTGAGAGCAGATCTGTTTATTTTGGAAAAGTTTATATAGCGCGGAGGCTCTAAACAATCACATTCGAGCCTACCTCAAAATTTCACTAGACGAGATTGTTTTGATGGCCAAATATCCTCAAATTGATCATCTCGACATCAAGATGCATGGATATGAGAAAAAAATTGATTTCAAGTTTTGGAAATAGTGTATTTTGTAATGCATTTTTTTACTGTCAATTTTCAAGATTTTCAATTTTTCATAGATCTGTCTATCCCACCATTTTTGAAACTTTAAACTTTATCAATAAAGATGAAAATATATTTAAGCTATCACAAAAATTTCCAGTGTTGAAACCACATTTTTCAATACTATTTAAATGTATGCTCTAATTTGTTGAAACCACACCCTTATTTATAATTTCACATTGTACTTGTTTCCCTTATTAATGCGACGAATGGGGTACCACTCAAGCCTTTGACTAGCTCAGCCAAGAAACAAAAAAGAGGTGGCCAAGATGTGTTAAATGCACATTTAGATACATTTTGTCAATCAATTGACCGATTCCTTGAGGGTCTCAACCTTTACAGAATTTGTGGAATTTGCCCTTTTCTACATGTTCAACAAACTCTTTTGTCGTTGTCAATGCATTAGGGTCTTGGGCTTGAAACTAAATATCTAAAGTGAACTTTTAAAAAGGTTTTAAAAAAAGGAAAAAGTTTATATAAGGTTGCAACCTTAAAATGTAGAATTAAGGTCAACGTCAAAAGTCAATTAAAAAAAAAACAGGGTGTCTTTATGTTAAAAACGATCATCTAGACATCGAATTGCATGAATATGAAAAAAAAAAAAACCGATTTCGAGTTAAAAAATAGCACATCTTGCAACATATTATTTGGATTGTCTTTTTTCAATCTTTTCATGTGTTTATAGATCTACTTGATTTGAACCATTTTTTGAGTTTAAATTCTATAATTAGATATGAAAATGGATTCTCAGGCCATCTTGAGATTTTTTATACTAAGATTACATCTTATGATAAAAGTTGGAGGTGTGCCCTAATTTGTTTATTTAAGGTTGCAACTTTATACAAACCACATCCTTAAAAAAATTGCTACATTGGTTCAATAAAGCTTGGGCCATAAGTTGTGTATTGGCCTTGCACTCCTTTAACCTGCTATCTACCAGCACACCTGGTAAGATTAGCTCTAAGAGGGTATGTACCACACACATTCTCACGTCGATGAAGACTTAAGGTAGCAACATGCCAAGCCTGGGCTGGGCCCTAACCCTTCTTCCCAGAAGGCTGGCCTAGGCCTTGGGAGGCCATACTGGGAAGGCTGGGGCTGAGAAAACACTAAATGAAGCAAAAAAAGAAAAAAGAAAAAAAAAGAGGGCTGGCTAGTACAAACCAGGCCTGCCTTGGCCCTAGGCACTTGGGCCACAATTTGTGGCCCCATGCTTTACCTTTTTTTATGGGCTTACCACAAGGCCCATTGCCAGTCCTAAATAGGAGACAGGTTCAATATCTCCAGTTGTTTTGAGTTATGCACCATGTACTATGTAAAGTTTGGGTTTGGTATCCCTTCTTCTTTCACATTTGTTTGAGTAGCTTAATTAATTTGGTGAAGGAAACAGATCACTAAAGCCTGAGTTATTAACATTTGTTTGGGTATGCAAATTACTTCCATAAAGGAAAGAAACTTTTGTAGAAGCTAGCTTTTAGTAGCGTCCTACAGTGAGTCGACCTCCATCTTTTTAATTCCAAAATTTGAGATCCTCGATCATGATATTAAAACAAGAAAACGTTGATCGTTGAAACTGGTCTGATTCTGGTTCATCTACTTCATTTCTTCCCTCTTCACTATTTTGGAGCCCCATATTCCTAATCTTAGGCAAAAGATAGAACCATAATTGTGACTTGTAATGCATTTAAGGTAGAACCATAATTGTGACTTACAATGTATTTAAGGTCCTAAAATGCCTATTATTTTTGAAGATCCAAATTCATGAATCCTAGGCAAAAATAGATTGACTATGAATTGAGATCTACTTCTGAGCCTTATATCTCGTGAAAACTAGGGAGGACGTCATTTCCTAAATCGGTTCTCAAATTATTATCAAAATTTCTTATTTTTCAGGATCTTATTTTTATCTTTATTTCCTTAAAAATTCTTTTGAAATTGAGTTGTGCGCATGATATGTCCCTATTTTTATGGGTGCGGTTTGTATAGATCCTAGGCTCTAAACAATCAAATTAGAGCCTACCTTCAAATAGTGTCGAGAAATGTGGTTTCAATCCGGAAAATCTTTGTGATGTCTTAAAATATATTTTCATTTTTATTTATAAAGTTTAAAACTTCAAAAATTAGCGTATATCAACAGATCTATGAAAACTTTAAAATCTTGAAAATTGACAATCCAATAATGTATTACAAAATACAATATTTTCAAAACTTGAAATTCATTTTTTTTTTCTCAAGTTCATGCATCTTGATGTCGAGATGATTAATTTGAGGATATTTGGGCATCAAAACAACCTCTACTAGTAAAATTTTTGAGGTAGGCTCTAATTTGATTGTTTAGAGCCTCAACTCTATATAAACTTTTCCATATTTTTATTGTTGTTTTTGTTGTTATTATTATCATAATCATCATCATCATTATTAAAAAATTTACATAAGGGCCAGGCCTTAAACAATCAAATTAAAATGTGCCTCAAAAATTCACTACAAGAAGTTGTTTCAACGCCCAAAAATCCTCAATGATCATCTCGACCTCAAGATGAACGGACATGAAAAAAATGGATTTCAAGTAGGAGAAATAGTGCATCTTGTAATACATTTTTGGACCGTTGATTTTCAAGATTTTCAAGTGTTCATAGATTTGCTCGATCTAAACTATTTTTAAAGCTTTAAATTTTATAACTAGATATAAAAATAAACTTTTAGGCCATCACAAAGATTTCCAGTATTGAAACAATATCTTTCGACACTATTTGAAAGTGTACTTCACTTTGATGGTTAAGGCCTCGGCCTTATACAAGCCACACCCTTATTATTGTTATTATTATTTATCATCATCATTACTACTACTTCATCAAAAAAAAAATTTGAAATTTCATATAGAACCATAATTCCTCGTTTTATTTCATGGTAGGCCTTCTTTTTGTTTTTCTTTCAAGCGGCCCCTCATCTCTTATCTTTCTCTTTTATTAACTTTTAACTATAAAAATTAGCCCCAATAAATCTTTCTATACCATTTCATCCCAAAAAAAAATTTAACCTTTTTTGCCCTTTTCATCGATTAAAACCGTTTTTAAATTGAAATGGTATAAAAAGATTTGTTGGGGCTAATTTTTATGATTAAAAGTAAATAAAAGACGGAGATAAGAGATGAGGAGATATGGTGAAATCTTTAAGGTTTTTTTTAAGCTGTTTGAAAAAAATAACGAAAAGAGTGTCTAACATGAAATAATACGAGAAATTAAAGTTGCATATGAAATTTTCCCTTAATTTCATTGGAGCGCGGAATCCTATTTGTGTCGTGGGTGCTCTTACAATCATTCAACTCCTCATTCAATCCATGTTTTTTTTATGCGGTATACGATTTTCTATCCGGTTTTCTTCTTAGGTTAATTTTCCGGAGCCCCAAGTGGTCAAGGAGAAACTAAATCTGACCCAAGTTTCCGGAAACTTATCCAAGATTTCATATAATCAAATCTCTATCAAAAATTTAGAAGCCTAAATTTCGGAAATATTCCTATCCACGAGTCAAGTGGGCTGCTTTGGTTCAAAGAATATAAAAACAAATTCAATTTGCACATGCGTCTCACCTTCCTCTTTTTCCTCCCTTTTGGACCCCGCCTTCTTGCAGTCAAGACTTAGAGAGAGAGAAAAGATTTAGAGAGTGAAGAGAAAGAAAAGAGAGAGACTTGGATAGAGAAAGAAAAGAAAGACATCAACCGAGGGTAAAGAGTATCTTATAGAACCTATTATTTTTTTATAGAAATATTTTGAAAAATTTTGTATTAGAATTTAAGAGTGTCTACTTGCCCAAAAAAATTAAAGATTTTAAGGGTATACACGTGGCGGTCGTAACAAAACTTATTGTTATTACTACCACTATAAATAAATAAAACTTCAAATTTGCTTTAATTGGGGCGCGGGATCTAGGGGTTGTTCTTACCACCATTCACCTCCTCATTCATTCAATCCACTTTTTTTATGGAGTATATGATTCTCTATGTAGTCATCTTCTTTAGGTTTATTACGAGTTCCCATAGAGAAAAGTTTCCAAAATTTTCTCATTCTTCGGGAAATTGGGGATTTTTTAACGTTTTTGGAAACCTTCTTTTTATTAGGAGTCCCAAGTGGTATAGGAGTCTGATCTGGCACCAGAAATATATCCAAGATTTCCTATCATCAAATCCTCGTGCGAAATTTAGACGCAATAATTTGCAGTGAGACAAAGAGTTCGAGAAAGAAGAGACCGCCTTCCAATAACTAATTTCCAGTAAAACAAAAGAGTAAAGAGCGAGACAGACACCTTCAGCTTCATCCAAAACCATCCCTATAATCCATACCCTTCCATCGCCCCTCCAAAACCTACCACCAATTCCACCCCAAAATCTCTTATCTGCTGAGAACTGCATTCCATGCATGGAATCTAAGAAGAACAACCCACCGATTGAGATCCGCGAGGTTTGGGCCGAAAATCTGGAAGAGGAATTCGCACTCATTACTGATCTTGTGGATCGTTTCCCTTATGTGGCTATGGACACTGAATTTCCCGGTGTTGTGTTCAAACCATCAACGACATATGAGACATATTCTGATTTTCTGTACCAAACCCTCAAGGTAAACGTAGATGCTCTCAATCTCATCCAAGTTGGTCTCACCTTTGCTGATTCAACAGGAAATCTTCCTGATTTGGGGACTGATTCTCAATTTATTTGGCAATTTAATTTCAAGGATTTTGATCTCTCTAAACACCTATACTCTCCTGCCTCAATCTCTCTACTAGAGAAGCATGGGATTGATTTCAAAAAGAATTTGACGGCCGGGATTGACTCCAAGCAGTTCACCGACCTCCTGATGAGGTCGGGTGTGATGTGCAATCATAGGGTGACGTGGGTGACCTTCCATAGTGCATATGACTTTGGATATCTATTGAAACTATTGACGTGTGCAGAGATGCCTGGTGAACTGGAACTCTTCTTAGCCATGGTTAAGGCCTACTTTGGAGAGATCTATGATTTGAAATACATGATGAAATATTGCGGGGGCTTGTATGGTGGGCTCGCCAGGCTAGCTGAAGCATTGAACGTGGACCGAGCCGTGGGTTCCTGCCACCAAGCCGGGTCCGATAGCTTGCTCACTTGGCATGCTTTTGTGGCGTTGAGGGATAGGTTCTTCGGGGGAGTTACTGAGCCTTATGCAGGGGTTCTCTATGGCCTTGAAAACTACTGACTCTTGGGGTTCTCTATGGCCTTGAGACCCAGTGACTGTTGCTTTTTCTGTCTTTCTTGCCGATATGTAATTTAATTTTTTGATAGTGCCGATATGTAACAATTCATTCAATTTGTTGATAGTGGAATTCGATTTACCTTTGGAGATAATCTGTTGATGGGCTTGAGTTCATTGAATTTCTTAGTATCGAATTTTTTTTTTTTTTGTTTTTTTGTAACTATGCAAATTGTTTTCCCCGCAGCGATGCATCATGTGTTTCACTATCTACTGTTGGAAAGTAGATAATGATATTCAACAGTAATTCACATAAAGGGGCGATTTCTATACATTTCAATGCAAAGGCTTAACACCTATAACATAGTACAGCTTATCATAGTGTATTTTCTCACTTTAGGTTCTATACGATGCAAGTTGCATAGAGCAGCAGTTCTTTGACAATCCCCCAACACAAGAAAGATGGAGAAATTACATAAGTGGTCTTGCAATCACCCCACACGAAAGAAGGGAGAAATTGCATGAGTTGGGATGTTATAAAAAGTGCTCAATTGGCTCTAAAAGAAGGTGGATTCAGGAGGTTGAACCAGTTTATTGTTATAAGGTGCTGTCATTTCCATCTTCAATTGAGTCAATTTGTCCTCCATCGTCTACTCACTCTGCCAATTGGACAGCATTCCAAATTTCTTTGGCTTTCTACCTGGAAAAACCCCAATAAATTTATGGATCAGCATTCATAAGAAATTATCCGGTCAAAACCCAGCTGATCTATTCTTTATCTTCCTCCAATTTCATAGTGGAGAAACAGTCGAGAAGAACCATGATAACTGTTTCACTACACCGATAATTTAATAATAGTAGCACTGCCGGAGTGAACTATCAAAAAAAGATTTTACGGGAGTTAACATGAGCTTTTTTTGTTGATTGTTGAGCTAAAATTATTTAATAAGATAAACGACACAAAAAAAAAAAACTCTTGAACATCAACATAATTGGGAATCTCTCTTTGGTCAGCAATGTTTTGTATTTTTTTACTGGTGACAAAGGGCCACGCACCGACTATTGAGGGTGCAACATGGAAATTTGATAGGACCACTACCACTAGTTTTGAGAGAGAGAGTGTCTAGCGTGGGTGAAGGGCTTACACTGTTACCACTCCAGTTTCATGATTCACACAAGTCATGTTGATTCTCGAGTGGAATCTAACACTTGGAGGCTTCTCGGGATAATCTTTGTCACAAAATAGCTTCAACTGATAGATTCTACCTTCATGGACTCACTGCAATGGAATTCAGAAAATGGTAAGGAGTAGATGGAAACACAAGTACAGTACCAACCACAAAACAGAGGCATGTAGATTTGGTGAGAGTAGAGGAAAACTTAACATATAACTCTCTTAACATGGCTTAAGAAATGTAAGAACCTTCCAACAACCAACATCAATGAAAATGGGAATTTCTTCATATTTATTCTCCCTTCTACTCATTCCCTATTTACTCCAATAGTTATGAGAATCAACATTATTTCAAATACAGTGACAATGTATCCATAGGCATGCTGAAACCATTGTACCAGGACTAGGCCGTGTCCCCTCCGACTCAGCTGAGTTACTTGGGCTTGCCCAGTAGGTGAGGCTGACTACTCCTAAGTTGTGCAACAACTCAGGGTATTAAAAATATTTATAATAATAAAAACAATATAAACTGTAAAAAATTAAAGTTATGTAACACAATTTTTTCTTACATGATTTAGATATATTTGGCAAAGATTGGTGAGTATTTTTTTGCCATAATCACAATTTTATAATTTTATTTTTTTGGCTTTTAAAAATATATCCCAAACTGCAAATTGGGATTTTTTTTTTTTTTAATCCATGTTTTCTCTATTTTTAAAATTTATTTTAACTTTTTAAAAGGTGTTTTAGATTTGAATTTACTTTTAATACTTGTGTTTTAGTTTTTGTCAAAATTTTCTTAACTTTTAAATATTTTATCACCGCCTTTCATACCTATATTCTCGATTGGACTAGGCCGAGTAACTGGCCTTGGCCAAGGGGGTGAGTTCCCTGCCCAAGGCGAGTTTCTGTACACTGGCTGAAACCTAGCTTGCAGGCCCCAATTATTTCATCCAGTACAAGATGTGAGGGTTATATCAGCTTGGCTTTTGATGATTTGATGGGTTCAAAAATTAGTCCAAGAAAGTTAATCAATGATTAGGATTGGCATTTTGTTGGTTCTCATGATACATTTAACTAAGTGTAAGAATGAGCCAAAGCCAAGAGTGACTTATCTACAGCTTAACATAAAAGATTAAAAATAACAAATAGAAGTTCATATCGAAAAGCAAAACTTGGGAAAGAAATGTTACTAATGGGAACCATAGATTAAAATAAGGTAAATTGTTTTATGCTGGAAGGCCATGCTCGCATAAAACATACACCGTCAAACTTAGTAGGATGGTGGAGATTGCAAGGATATGCTGCAATCTTGACCATCGAAGTAAGTTGGACGATGGAGGTTTTATGCGGCCATGTAGGCTTGCCTGCATAAAAACCATGTCTTAAAGTAATAAGCTCTAATAACTCGCAATCATTCCTAATGCCAAGATACATAACAAAATAATATGCAGCAAAATAACATAACAAAATAAAATTTCCATCCTGTGGATTCACAATGAATTTGAAGGAAATAGATAGAAGAAAAACAGAGCACCCAATATGTTCATTTTCCAAAGCCTGTCGAAAGTTCCATTCCATATGGATTGGATAGCTGCTTTACTCATTTGTTGAGTTGCCATTTCGTTTCTAAGGGAGAAGCGGCCGGGACGACGGCAAAGGGTTCGAAATGCGAGCAGGACAGAACAAAGACAGAAGCGGCCGGGACCACGGCAACCATTAACAGGAAGAGGCTCCATGAGACGAAGTAGCGCCATCGATTGGATTGATCGACGCAGAGCCTTCCGACACATTGCCTGAAGTTCTTGAGCTCATCGTCGGCTTGAGACCCGCACCTCAAGAATGCGTTCTTTCTCTCTCTAGGAAGCAAGCATTCCTCCTCTTCTCTCTCCTCTCCTTCCCCTGTTCTGCGAGCCATTACTCGAATGAGTAACCTAACTGAATCTTCTCAAATCAATGGCTTTTCAACCCAATCTCTCTAACCAATGCTTCTCAATCTAATCTCTCTCCCTCTCTCTCTCAAGTCAATTCCCCTTGAAGCGGACTTCTCACTCTCTCTATGAAATCCAAAAAGCTCTCCCCATCAATCCAACCCTCAATACTCTCTCTCCTCCCCTTGGAACCAATTTCTTTTTCTTCTTGATTGAGAGAACAGAGATTAGAGACAGCATATTTGCAGTTAGAAAGAGGAAACACTGTTCATATATATTTTGTTTATATGAACCTCAACAACGTTGAAAAAAAAAAAAAAAGAGGAGGAAAAGAGATAGAATTCAAAAAGAGAAGATAGTAAAGGGGGAATTTTGGATTAAGGAATCGTATTTGTGATAATAGGTATGATTTCTTATTTGAGAATCAAATATTATTGTTAGAGAGACTTTGTAGACATGTGAAAGAGGACTGCTGCAATAGAAGAGGAGGAAAATATGAGCAGGGGTGTCGAAGCACGACCACCAATTTTCAGTTTTTCAAGAATCGAAATTGTCGTGTCTTCGGTTATTTAAAAATCAAAATTCCAAACATTTTAGTTTTTATAAAATTGAAAAAAGATAAAAACGATTTTTTTAAAGAATTTCATTACAAAATGAAAAAAAACGAATATGCCAATAATAACGGAAAGTATTTGGTATTTTAGTAATAATGGAAAAATATAATAGATATTTACATAATTTTCCCTAATATTTATATTAATATTTATTAAAATACATAAAACAAACGTGTCCTAAGAAAATTTAGTAGGTAAACTTGTTCTAAAACCCATGAGGAAACATGTCCCTATTTATAGAGTACTTTTTTATCCTCTATGTGTGATTGTTCAAGTATCGAAAGATCAAGAATTACGTCTCATGAAATGTCAACTGTCAGAATGGCAAATTTGTTTCAAGTAATGTTAAACATGAAATCCTACAGTCACATAGGGACTCTAGGTTTCGAAAACAAACCACATGTGCACCCACAATCACACGTTTGTCTTATCGGGTTCTAGTAAAATAACCATTGGAAATCTATCGGAGGGGCACAACTCACTAGAGCGCATCAATCCATTGGAGGACACACTACTTGTGCTTCTTCACTGGCACGTCACTATTAACCAAATTGCACCAAACTACCGGAACCTATATATTGGAACACCCTTCAATACCAATCCATTGGAGGCAATATATGTAGCAACAAAAAGATAGACGAGCCATGACCCTGACTTATCCATGTGCTCGGCCGAGGGGTGCTCCCAACTTGCACACGTGCGAGGGATGTTCATGCTCCAATGGAAACTTGAGAAGTGCAAAGCGCAAAGTCAAGCGCCCTTGCACGTGTTCGATCATACGCTACACATGATCCGTATATACCTTCTCTCCCTGTGGTTCTTTGTTCACAAATGAAGAGGAAGCCTATATGTTTAAACAAGGTTTCCCTCTTTCACATCTTTAATATGGGATAATCACTTTTCTTTTTATATATAAGACAAGACAACATTTTCTGTTGTGCGTGGAAGCACTAAACTCGATGGGTTGATTTTTTACAAATAAAGTATGAGAAATAAATCATAAAACATATAACATAAGAACACAAATATTTACGTGATTCACCCCAAAAAGGCTACATCCACAGGCACGACAAACAGAAAACCATTATACCAATGAAAGTTACATCAAAGATTTTGGAACAAACCTCGACAAAAACTCAAATCGAGCAAACCCTTTTAAACAACTCATCATTCATTCTCTTTACTTATGGCAATATCGATAACAACAGATAGAGACGTGAGAGCAATGAGAAACTGATTTTCTCTCTTACTAAAAATAGAAACAACCCAAAATCTTCATGGAAACCGTTTCTCTACAAAAAACCAACTTCTCACTCTACAAGAGTCTTTAGGAGACATCATCAATATTTCTCTTCATAGGAAGTTCTCTTCTCTCTAAGAGGAAATTGTATTTTATGCACAGGAGGCT